CCAGTCACGAATCTTTTCCTGAAAGAAAAATTCTCACTTCCTCTCTGATCTCAAACAAACAATTGAGAACTTTTCCCTGAGACAGCCTCCAAACTTGTGAGATAATTTATAGTGCTCCGCTCCTGTCTCATCTCACAGAACTCCAAACAAATGTACACTCTTTGAGCTACTCTTGATGAAGTTGACTGTGCAAACAACTTTATCAAGAACTTGTATTAGAATGGGCAGCTTTCCCCTCTTCCTTTGGCAACAGGGATTTCCTGTGTATAATACATTGAATCCAAACTGGTTGCAGTGCAACAGCCTGCATGCAGGTGATTAGCCCACTTTTTTCCAGTCCAGTGCTGCTATTCCAAGCCAAAATCCCAGAAAAAAATATCGAAGTGAGAAAGGTGTTCCGCTGTAGCATGGTAATGACCGACAGAACAGATATTCCTCTGAGAGTTATTCTCATATATAACATGTCTGTCTTAGCAACACCCAACTTATCCATCATTTTATCAATTTGAATAGAAAAATAACAGGACAGCACTTGATGTTGGCAATCACTTGTTCAGTCGTGCTATTTGCCATACTGAGAATATGCTTGGCCACAGTGCCATTACCCAAAACAAAACAAACAAACCAAGTTGAATCAACATAAAACCAATTCCTTGGTGCAGGTCAGAAAAAAGTTTTTTCCAATAGTATGTGGTTTCTCAGTCTTAGCTATCTAGTATAATACAGCAGAAAATACCTCAAGGGCTTTTTTCTGACTTTTCAGCTCTCATCTTTCGCTGAAAAAAAAAAAAGAGCATTTTCGTTTTAGAACTGTGCTACTCTTCCAGTCACTAACACTGTCCACATTCAAGAGTGAGACAGAAGGGAGAAACGTGAGTTGCTGTGTTCAGGACTGTATGTATTTGTCCATGTGACTGGGCGAGTCAAATCTTTCAGTCTGCACCCGCAGTGGCTCACTTTTAATGGGTGCCAAAGAGGACATCACAGATAGTGATGAGAATACCAGAAATGGAAGTGGGTGCAGCAGAGAGCACTAGATGAATCTAAATTAGAGAACTAGGCAAGGAGCCAGGAGCCCTTGAAATAGCTCAGTGACTACTTTGTACAGTTAGCTTAAGAAGATATTGATAATACCTGTTCTATAATGGTTCTTTCCCTGAGGCCAACTTCTTTTTTTCCTATTTTCTCTTCTCCAATCAATTCACATCTTCCCTTTCTTCCAGGGAATAATTTTTCTAGGGAATTAAAACAATTCACTAGAGTCATATGACTAGATAACATGGTAAGATGTGGCACACTGTGGTAGAGTCAGTACCCTAAGAAGCCCACAGGCTTTTATAAATAAATAACTGCCTTGTCATCTAATTAGTCATGCTTATGAATGGATGAACAAGAGTCACACTGCACATACATATTATCTAGCACAGGGGTTCTTAAAACTTCATTGCACCACATTCCCCTTCAGTAAAAATTACATGACTCATGAAGGGAGACTAAAGCCTGAGCCCACCTGAGCTCCAACACCTTAGGCCAGGGAGTGGAGGGGAATGCTATAACTTGAGCTCTGCCACTCAGACTTCAGCCCTGGGGAGGGGGAGGTCTTGAGCTTTGACTTCAGCAAGTCTAACACCAGCCCCAATGATCCCATTAAAAGGGGTCTGTGAGAAATGTTCATCTAGTGAAACCACAGCTAAGGGAACAGCTTGGCAGAATTGTTGAGGAAAGATGACCCTGTTCAGCTTGATGCTTTTCTGGAAGTGGGAAGCAACATGACAGAGTAGAATAAATGAGAGGCCCCCAGGCTGCCAGTGAAATACCCCTTTTATTTTCTTATACAGCCAGTGAGCTGGGGCAAGTCTTGAGAGATTTTCATTTCTGACTGCCAGTGTCCAACACAGGCAGGGTGTGACTCTAGCCCAGGGCTACTCAACATTGAAAGCTCCGGGGGCCACAATGGTACTCACAGCACATGCCGAGGGCTACAACGTAAGTGTGCTTGCATATACATGCAAATGTATATGCGAATATATGCAAATAGCTTTTCACACTGACAGGCATAATACAAAGATTAAGGCAAGACCACACAACACACAGGCCCTATTTAAGTCAGTTCTGTTGATATTAATAAAATGCAATATTTACCCAATTTCCACACCTATGCCAACACTTCTCATGAGCAATGCCAGTCCAGGAATTTAACTAACAACATGCTTATCAACAGAATACCATTATATTGACTACTTTTGTGTTTTGGCTCCCATCCACAGGCTGTGTGTTGAGCCCCGTGTAAACCCAAACTGTACAACAGGATAGAAACGGGCCACATGCAGCCCACATGTTGAGTAGCTCTGCTCTAGCCATTGTCAGATGGGGTGTTTGACTAGTCAGTATACATCAAACCATGACACAGGTGTTCAAGGGCAAGCACAAGGAGAACAGAAACCTCCCATGGAGCAAAAGCTGTTAACCTTGATTTTCAGCATGAATACAGACTGATTATGGGGCCATAGATCCCTTCTGACATCTAGGTTTTAAGCAGGTGTCAAAAAGTTACAAGAATAAGTGGCATGTGGCAGCTAAGCATTCACAGTGATGTCACTTTTTGACCATTTGAGAGGTTTTTCCTATCCATGCAAAGCAGAAGTCACCAGTGAGTGGATTATTCACCCCACTAATAGGGAAGGTGAGCTGGGTTTAGATAGTTATGAGCAGGGCTCAACAAAGTATTGAATCTATTTGCCCATGGCAAGTAGATTTCAGCTGGGTGTCCCATTCATTTGCAGCATGCACATGCGCAATGTGGGTCTTGCGCATGTGTAGTACAGGGCTAGCGAGAGGCTTTCACCGCTGTTCGTCAAGTGCTGGTTATGAGACATTTTATTATGCTGGTGTGTTGTTGCAATAGTAAATTGGCTCAGGATCCGAGGAACCACTGCTTCAGTCTTTGTAGATGCTTGGATAAACAGCACAGGGGAAGGAAAGGGGGAACTGCCATATTTGTGGTTGACTGACTGCTTTTAATCAGAGTCCCTCCCGCAACATAACAATGGGGGGGGGGGAGGGGAGAGGAGAAGCAGTCCTATCTAATTTTACCTCCAGTGACCTGGAGACCCATGTTGTAAGTATTCATTTCCTATAACTTGACAGCTGAGCTTCCTAAAATGCAGAACAAGGAAATCTCTCACGTGGTACGTGAACGTATAATACATACAATTTTACTACAGACAGCATCTTTCGCTCTGAAGCAGGGGTGGGAAACCTAAGGCCCCTGGGCTTGCCTGGATCTGGCCTCTGAGGCTCAAGGCTCCCTCCCAGCATTGGGGAGCTCATACTGGTGCTCCAAGACCCTCCCCTTCCCCCATGGGACTGGGGCGCACAATGTCTAACCTGGGCTGCTTTAGAATCTGGGGAGCAAGGGGAATGTGGGCAGTGTCCTTTTCCTTCTCAGTTGGGGTTGATCGTGGGAGTTTGTGCATATTTTTTGATTCTCACTTGTGTCTGGCCCTGCACTGATTTTTGTTATGGGTTAGTAGTCCCTGACCCCAAAAAGGTGCTTACTCCTGCTCTACAGATATAAAACAGAAAACCATTAGCAGTTACATATGGGACTCCATCTCAGCATGTGTCTAGATAGTCAATAAGTTTTGGCCCCTCAATCAAAAAGGCAATAAAAAAACCACTACTTTGGATTAGGGACATATTGATGTATACAATTAACTGAGGCGCCTGGGCTCATCTGTTAACCTTCACAGTTACACACAAGGTCCTCCCTCCCGCCCCCCACACACTGCTGCCTCTGTTACACGCTCCCTCCAAGCACCAGCTCTTGCAGAGCTGCCTCCCCTTCCCTGTGTGAAACATATAACCTCTGAAAATTTTAGCTGTTACATGTTTACAAAAGGCCCCGCTTTTTAACATCCCTACTTTGGATCATAAAACTGTCTGAGATCATAGCCACCTGAGGTAAAAAGGAAGAAAGTGATTGTAAAAGCAACAACATGAGTAGGGAAGTGCATCAAGATCAAAAGTAGAACCCAAAACTACTTTAACTCAATTTTTCATACTGATTAGATGTTAAGTTGCGTAGCCCTCTTAAAAGGCACATCTATAACAAAAGACTACTTACTGTGACTGTTAGCACCACAAACACACAAATTACTTATTGAAATTGTCAAATGTGAACAAACATACAACAGCAGAAATATATGATTTATAAAAAGGAGCAGCAACAATGGCATTCTAATAGGTTGAGTCTCTGCATGGTCGTTTATTGTAAAGTTTCTTCACCTGTGGTAAATACATCATTTTTACATAATTTAATTTTATTAGCTTATAATTATAAACTTCACTGAAAATATTCATTTGTTCCCAGACACTGCTTTTCTCATATAAGGGCATAGGTTTGTTAAGCAAACTAAGGGGGAAAAAAATGAAGTTCTGCTCAGAATGATGACTAAAGTAACAGTGAAGTTCAATGCATGAATGACTTCTCTATCAAATTTGCTCAGTTTATAAGTGAAAGGAGGCTTTCCCAAACTGCCAATGCACTAAACTGAGCTGGGAATCTGAAAAGTTAAATTACATTATTCTGGACTGCACACTAACAAAAGTTTTGCAAATAAAATTTAGGCCCTAATTATGGAAATACTTAAGTGCTTAATTCTTCACACTTGAGCATTGTCAGTAAATTCAATGGGTATGTAAAGTTATTCACAATATGCATTTACAAAATCAGGGGTTTAATTGTATTAATACATTAACCCCTGACAGCTATGTGGCCTTTGTGATTCTAACATGAGTATTACAAATATAGTGGTCACTAAGCAGTTAGAATAATGCATGCAGATTGATTGAGTAAAGGTGGTTTCATTTTAAGTCAGCCACTTTTCTGTTCTGTTACTGTACATGAAATTTAGTCAATCCATGAACAAAATGTTGAGGAAGAATTATTGACATTTCACTATATTAAACAAATGTAGGAATTCTCTGAAATTCTGTCACCGGTTTCTCCATAGCCAAAAAAAAAAAAAAAAAAAAAAAATCTATCACCATTATTGCACAATTTTAAGTGTCGTTTACGTGCATAAAAACCCTCTACTTAGTGTTCACATGGCAATATGCTAAACATACATTTAAAACTATAATACAATTTACAAAATTTCTTTAAACTTCTATTCTTAAGATAAAAGTAACCTGAGAATATTACAAATATTACAAGCCCTTCATTTCTATGCTGTTTATCCCCTCAGTTGGTCAAGTTTATTTTACATCAAATATTGTTCCTTGTTTTGTTCCTCTATTTTACAAAATATCTTAGCATAACAGTATACTATTTTCATTTGAGTAACTAATCAGCCTCGTATTTAGTAACATAAAATAGTTTCACAAACAGTTTTATCATGTTAAAAAGATTCCAAGGCTTTGTGCAGTTTTAATATTTTGGTCAGGTATTTAAGTTGTGCAGTTTTACATTTTGGCAAAAAAGAAAAAGCCCCAAATGCATTCAGTACATTTTTTTCTTTCATTTTATATACTTTATACATCTACAGTGTATTTTATACAGCTAAGATCATAAAATACTTTGCTCTTGTATTTATTTGCTTTTTTTTTAAGGTGCTTAGAAAGACAGACAAGTGCTAGAAACAAATTCAGCATCTTTGGGCTAAATACAAAAATCTCACTGGAAAATGTAAAATATTTCAGTTGCTTCCTCTCTTTACAGATTCTTAAATAAATACCCTTTATTAAAGATAAATTCTAATTCCTTATGCTATACAATACCTGTCTGTAGTTTTACGTCTAGTCAAGATTAAAGCTTCACACATTTCATCTTCATATAGTTTTATTAGGAAGATATCCACATATTTGCATATTTTGAAAAGGGAGAGTTCAAGGTTAAAAATATAGGCTTTTTTAAAGTAAGATTGCTATTCTGCTGACTGTTTCAAGCTATGGCATAGAAAACCCATGTTATGGAATATCCTTCAGTTTCTTGTATCCTAGGTGAGGGGAAAAAAAGGGGGGGCTCAGGTGAGTTGCGGAGGTAACAAACCTGGATTCCACAAACGGGAGGGTGATGGTGGTTCGAATCAGTGTCCCATGTGGCTACTTCCTGCTGTGGCATAAGCACTTGCTTCAGAGGAAGAGGTTTGCTTATTTTCTAAACAGAGAGGCACACACTTATTCATGGCAGCCAAAGAATAAAAGTTTGATGGGAGACATTTGTCACTATCAAAATAAAGGGGGTATTATGGTACAAGATTTTTATCTGGACCTGACTTGGGAGAAGGCCAGGTGTTCAGAGAGAGAAGAGCCCAGGCTCTGGATCGAGTAGAGGTTACCACAAAAGGAAAAAACATTTCAGCAACATACTATATATATGCGCATGGGTGATACTCTATGAAAAATACATTAGGGTCATATAGGATTCCTACATTAGGCAATATAATCTAAATCTAAAAGGACCTTGTTAATCTTTAAGGCATCATGGATTTAAGCTCCAGGAAATAAATATGAACACAGGAAACCAAAAGTCCTCATGGCACCAACTGTAAAACTAACATTGTACATTACATTTGTTGGCATTTCCATGAAAAATATTTTCAGAAAAGTTATACACAATATTGACAAAAATATCAGAGCATAAATTTCACTTCACTTTTCAAAAGTTCATTTAATGGGCTAAATTGATCAGGCAAGATTCTCATTTTTACTGTTCCATCAGCTCCACAGGAGAATATATGATTTGCTGGTCCTGTCTCAATTTGCATGACTCCTGTTCCAATGTTTCTGAAAATTGACTGTCGAGCATGCTCATTGATGAAAGTGTGAAGAAGATTAAAGGTAGATAAACTCCATACCTGAAAATTATTAAAACAAACAATGTTTGCTTTAACTCACTAAAAATCATGTATGAAAAAACTCAGACCACCCAGCCTGATCAGGTGTTTTTCAGCTTTGACAGTATCACAATACTTACTCTTCATTTTCAATCACGAATATTCTGATAACATTTGTGACCTTAAAAATGTCATTAAGGTAACAAAGGTTGCACAGTTAAACTCTGCAGTCAAGAAATGCAAAACTTAAGGCTCATTATACAATTTTAGAAATTAAGACCAACTGATAATCATTTACCTGGCAATGCAAGATTCTAGTTGAGTATTTTAAGAGGGATTAGAATTTTGTGAATACCTAGTATGAAAAAAATATATACAATGCCTTGCCCCCCCCAAATTAAAATTAAATTTACCTTTATATTGCCTTCTGCAGATCCTGTAACAAAATATTCTTCTGCAGGATCCACAGCAATTGCTTTAACTGGAGAATCATGACTCTGGAATAGCTGTCGTTGTTGCTTTTGGCGAAGATCAATTATACAAGTAAAGCCTTTTCTGCCTCCTGATATTAAAAGTTGATGTTTTGGAGCATATGCTAGCACAGTTGCCCCACTATCATGACAGATAAAAGCTAAAATACAAAACAAAAGATGTTAGAGAACATATTACATTAGCTTTAGCCTCCTCTTCAGAGCTCATGGTTTAACATGATAGCAACAAGTACATAGGCTACTCAATTAGATGGACCAATGATCTGATTCAGCACAATTCCTATTTAAGATAGTAGCCAGTTCTAGATACTTCAGAGAAAGGCACAAGAAACCATGCACTACACAGTTAAGAAATAACCTATGGAAAATTTCTCCCTTATCTCTTTCTAGTCATAGGTTATCTTATATCCTGAAACACGAAGGTTTTTCTTTCCCAAAAATCTTTTAAATCTTTGCTAGTGTAATTCTGGATGTTATCCATATAAAAAAAGGTCTAATCTTTTCCACGGGCATTAAATTTAGTCTCAATGAGATCTTGTGAGAAAGAGTTCTATAGACTACTTGTGCATTGTGTTAAAACTGCAGGCGACAAAGTATTATCTGAGCAGGAGGGTGTGAGGACCTTTGTGGTTCCAAGGACTGGACTTCTATATGCCAAAAAATGTCAGCTGCCATAGCTTGTACCAGGACATAGCAGCTTATAAAAGGTATGGACAGAAACCCACATTACTGTTTTACAGATTTCAGTGACAGGAACATCACAGTGAGACTACTGAAGCAGCCTTGGCAT